ACCCACCCCCTCTGCCCCACCCCACAGCTGATGGCGTTTGTGGCAGAAGAGAGGAAACGCTACAAGGTCTACCCGCCCCCGGAGCAAGTCTTCACCTGGACGCGGATGTGTGATATCAAGGATGTGAGTAGAGCTGCGGGTGCTGGGGGGAGATGGGGGCGTTGCTCTGGCTGCTGCTGCTGCTGCTGCTGCTGCTGCTGCACTTAAAAATGAGAAGCACACGGGGCTGGATGTGCAAACACGTTCATTTGGTGTTTGGTCTCTTCAGTGTCAGCCCCATGTGATGTGGATGCTGTTGTTTCTCTCGTATAACCTGTAAATCCTGACTTCTCTTCCATCTCTGCTACTGAAATGTAATTTTATTGCTTTATTACTCTCACCAGCCACAGAATTTCCTTTAAAACTTTTGGACTTTTGACCTTATTTTCATTGTTACCAACTTAATCTGGTGATTGATGTTTGAATTTCATCTCTTGTGGGTTTTTTCCACTAATCTCTAATGAACTATAATTAAAAAAAAAAGTCAGTGTCTTAAGGTAATCCTGTTGCCAACAAGCTGTATTAAAAAAACAGCGCAGCAAGTGTGGCATAAAGCTAAAACATGAGGAAATTTACTTGGAAAACACCTTCACAAGATGTTTTGTTGTGGCTCTTTGAAAAGGTTGGGTTTTCACACTCTACATGTCTTCATAACCTTGGCAGCAAAGCTGTGGCAGTGTTAATTCTCAGCGTTAGGTGGAGACTGTTCTTTAACTTGTGTAGAATGAGATGTCAGCGGTTTAACTTCAGTTTCTGGGGGCTTTGTTTGTTTGTTTTAATCTGATCTGTGTTTGTTTTGGGATAAAGCTCATTTATAAGCTTTCTTTTTTTCTTTCCTTCCCTCTTTTGGGAATGATACTGATTATAATTGAGTGCTAACAAAGCTCTGCTTTCAGGTGAAGGTTGTCATTTTGGGACAAGATCCGTATCATGGACCTAATCAAGCTCACGGGCTCTGTTTCAGTGTCCAGAAGCCTGTTCCACCTCCCCCCAGGTATGACAGCACTCAATTTGCAAAATTCCTTTCCTTGACAATTTTTCTGCAGCTCTTTGTTGCTCTCAGCCATGAACCAGGTCATTGATAGGAAATGTGCTGCGAGTACTGAAATTTGAGTTGTGCACTGCCTAGAAAATACATCACTGCAAAAGTGTGGGTAATTCTGTGTAGTTTGGTGTTCTGAAACACATACTGGATCTAAATTTGCATTTTTGATTGTGCTGAGATCTTGTTAAGCTTCTATCCAGGCACACCAAGGGGAGTCCTTGCTACCCTGCTTCTACAAATAGCTTCATTATATTAAAGAAGATTAAAATCAATGCCCTTCTTGCCTAGTGTAAGAGCAGTGAGTGGTGCTGTTTGCTCTTATCTTTAAACACACGTGTTAAAAAAACTTCTGATGGTTTTTGTTTGCAGTTTAGAAAATATTTACAAAGAACTGTCTACGGATATTGAGGATTTCACTCATCCTGGTCATGGTGATCTAACTGGCTGGGCTAAGCAAGGTGAGTTAGTAGACCCTCTAGTAACGTGTCCATTGTTAGTCATGAAGAAGCCTGTCTAGAAGATAGACCCCATGGTTGGAAACAGTTTGTAAAAGAGAACGTCAGTTCTGAGTGCCTGTCACTCAGCAGGTACCTTCAAATGAAAATTTAATTTATCACTTCTCAAGGGAAGCAGGAAAAAAGCAATTAGCACTTGATTTTTGTTCCATCCTCGGTGGATCTGCTTGCTTTGCCAGGAGTGCTCCTGCTCAACGCTGTCCTGACGGTGCGAGCTCACCAGGCCACCTCGCACAAGGAGAGGGGCTGGGAGCAGTTCACGGACGTGGTGGTGTCCTGGCTCAACAAGAACTTGCACGGAGTTGTCTTCATGCTTTGGGGAGCCTACGCCCAGAAGAAAGGCAGCTCCATTGACAGGGTACGGGTTACTCCTCCTCATCTCCTCCCTCTCCCTCATTTTTCTCTTCAGTTGGGTGGACACTAGAGGGCACTTCCCTTACAGAATTGAGGGGTTTTTTTTCTCTGCTTGAACTCTGCTGTCAAATTTAGTTGCCCTTCTGTTCCAGCTTAGCCTTTCCCAGAATTAAGCAACCAAAAGTGGAGCAAGTGTAACCTTCTGTTGTCAGAAAAGCAGCCAGTTGAGGACAGAACTGTTTTTTTCTAAGAAAAGACTCCTGAATAAGTATAAAATTTGCTGTTAGGATGACAGCAATTGAAAACCAGCCAAGATATTATTGCTGCTTGACGTAGTATGTCCTCCTCTGCGCAGTGGGATAAAGGTCTTGGTCCTCATGGCCAGTTCCTCAGGTCCTCAGGCTGGTGGCCGAGGAGGTGTAGAGAGGAAATCACACCTGCTTGGTTGGGGCAGACGCAGCCAGCCTTGAGCTGGGAGCTGAGAACATGCAAATCTTAACGGGCTGTTTCCTCTGATGCTTTACAGAAACGCCACCACGTCCTGCAGACGGTTCATCCCTCCCCCCTCTCTGTCAACAGGGGGTTTTTTGGCTGTCGGCATTTCTCCAAGACGAATGAATTGCTGAAGAAATCAGGCAAGAAGCCCATCGACTGGCGAGCGCTCTGAGCTGCAGGAGAGGCTGTGGTGTCTCCTGGTTGGAAACTGCCCCTGTTTCAGGGGTTGTCTCATTTCTGAAAAACTTCTGCTGACCTGAGAATTCCTCTTTGGATGTTGATCGAGGAACAACCGACCAAACTTTCAGAGATGTTGTATTTTTTTTTTAAATGTTTATTAAAGTGCAGGTTGGAGTATTACATGGACAACTTCTCTGCTGTTTGAACAGGTTTCAGCCTAGTTTGATGCAAAGAAAACAGTTCTATATTAATTTGTATTTGTTCTTGTAATGGGAATAATTTTCAAGCTCTTGAGAAGGGATGTCAGTTCTTACAGGTGAAGCTGTTCAGCTTGTGTAAATAAATACGCTGCTGTGCTTCCTCCCACTCCTTTACCTCCTGCTCTGCAAATCCAGGTTTCATATTGGGGTGTGGAGCTGACTCCACGGGAGAAAAGGCACCTGCTTTTGGTTTTAGCTTTTGCTACAGATTATGAGATTTATTAGCAATCCAGCCTCATGGCACAGTAAAGACTGCAGGCTCTCAGGAGTGTTACTGGGTGTATCTGTACTCTCAAGATTTCAGGGTTAATCCCCCCAGCAGCCAAGGGGAGGCTGTGACCAAGGCTCTGGTCATGCTCTGAGTTTTTTGTGGGCATTTAGAGGGGAAAACCATAAATTTTTAGATGGTTACTGGGTGTGTTTATCGTTTGGATGACAGGTGAGCTGCAGTGACCGTGAACTTTGTGGTACCTGCCAGTGGCAGCAGCAAAGGTTGGTTCTTCAAGATCTGCCAGTTGATGGGCTGATGGCTGCAGATTATTTAAGATCTTTTTAAGATCCCAAATTAAAAAGATCTTAAGATCTTTTTAAGATCTTAAAATGGAGGGATTATTTAAGATCTTTTTAAGATCTTAAAGCGGAGGGGTTTTTGTGCTTTGCCTTCCTAGGAGCAAATGGAGGTTTCTAGCTATTGTTGAAAATAACTGTTGGGACTTCCAGGATAAAGACAGGGTTGGACTTTGCACTTCTGGGTTTTCAGTCCATCTCTGACTTCTCCGTTCCTTTAATGGAAGTGAAGTGCCGCCTTTGTTTGGAAATTCCATCTGTTTTAATAGAATTCCCCTGTAAACCTTTCTCTGTTGTTTGCCCCCGTAGGTAACACTAGTACCAGTGAAATTGACACTTTCTGTGGCTGTGTTGTGGCTTTTTGTTTGGTTATTTGTTTGGTTTTTTTCCCCCCTCGGTTTGTTTTTAAATAAAAATGACTTTGTTTATGTTGTGATGTGATCTTAACCTTGGTAGGAACAAGGCAGGGAGGGAGGGAAGGGTTCCTAAGGGGAGGCAGTGGCTCTGCAATGGGTGCCGGCCTGGGGTGTGGGGTCCCTGCTCCCCCAAGGGAGCCACAGCTGCTGGAGCTTCTCCATCTCCTTGTCCCCATGACCGGGCGCGGGGCCAGGCCACCTTTGTCCCCTGAGGATCGGGTGTCCCCAGCCAGCCTTGCCAAGGTCCCCCCCCCACTTTCCACCCTCTCTCCTCCAGCAGAAGTTTTCCAGACGCGTTAACAGGGAAATATTTCTCCTTGACGTTACCGTCACG